CCTTCCGAACTGGACGCCTCCGCCTCTTCCTCCTCCGGCGAGTCAGGGCACTCCGCCTCCTCCACCGCCTCCTCCTCCGGTGAGTGACAATCAGGGCCCTCGGCCGGCTCCTTCTCCGGCTCGTGGCGGCACTCCGCCTCCTTCTCCGCCTGCACTGACGCGCCCGAGCAGCCAGCCTCCTCCTTCTCCGCCTCGTCAGCAAGGGCGGAAGAGACCTGCCGCCGCTCCAGCTGCTCCGGCGCGTCGTAGTCCTTCTCCTCCGCCTCGTAAGCAAGTAAAGAAGACAACTGCTCCGTCTGCTCGGTCGGCGTCTAGCAGTACAACCAGAGGCGGAGGACATACAGATTCGGTCCTTCTCTGAAGACTCCAGAGAAGTTACCATATGAGAGGACCCCGGAGGAGAACGCCGAGATCACGCGAACCGAAGTGGATGACTGGTTTCAAGGGTTGAGAGCAAAGAGACATCCACCTCCGGAGGAGAAGGTAGATCCGGTGAAAGTGAAGCGCACTCTGGCTGCCCTGGCAAAACCACCCAAGTCTCCACCGAAAGGCAACTATGAGCGCATTATTGCAAAGACATGGGCCGAAGCGGAGCGGTCGGGAAGTACAGTCAGTGATCAAAGGCTAAAAGAACGACGAGCAGCTGGGAAACAAATTGCCCAGCTCGGCGAACAAGCGAAGCAATCATGCCCCCCCCCCCTCAAGGTGCCTAGCGACATCGTCGATCCGAGGATGGTGCCCGGTTATGGCAATGTTGACGATTACCTGCCCGATGATGTACATTATGATACCATGGAGGTGTAGATACACAGATACGAGTACGGGAAGCCTCTCATCAAAGATGAAAAATCTTTAACAATGATGATGCGAAGATTACATGATTGGTACTTGAAAATCTGCAGAGAGTCTGGGGGGAGGAGTACTTTGTATGCGAGAGTTAAACCGGAGCATGACCTCGTTGGAATTGAACTGTTGCCTATTCCATTTGAGGAGTTCTATCAGTTTTTCAATCAATTGGCCCTCGATAAAACAACGATCACCTGCTACTGTCTGTAAGTACTACTACTTCTGTCATTAAGTCTCTCTATATAGCTCATCTCTTTCATTGCATGTATTTATAATTATCCTCACTATATTATGCAGAATGAAGATCGTCGAATTGAAGAAAAGACAAATCGGTGATATTGGGTTCGTTAACACATATCTCATAGATGCAACTGAGGTTGAACATCGTCCCGGAGATACCGAGGCCAACTTGCTACGATCATTCAAAAAAATGAAAACAAAGATATAATACTCTTTCCTTACAACTTCAAGTGAGTGTTACTGTCTTGTGCATATTCGGTTTCCCTTATATATTAGTCCAGGTTATAGTAATGTAATTGATGAGTTATGCATGCGTGTGCAGTTTCCACTATATTCTCCTAGAGATTAGGCTTGAGCAGGGAGTAGTAACCGTCTTGGACTCTAAATGAAAAGATCCCCAGGAGTATGCGGACATGACTGAAATCCTCAAGAAGTAAGTTAAATTGATCATTATCCACCATATCAGCAACTTTGTTCATTTCCTGATATCAAGTAATTGTTTTCTTTGTCCGGCAGGGTTTGGAGAAAATTCACCAGAACAGTTCCGGGACTGCCAAAGGAGCTGAAATTTAGACACCCGAAAGTAAGTACTATAGTAGCATGTTCCGCGCATCTCCTAGTGATTCAAGCGCTAGTTTCATCAATACCATTTAGCATTCTTGCTTATCAGTTTGATTGACCTCTATTTCTTGTAAAGTGGTTGTGGCTGGAAAAAGGGAATGATTTCTATGGATACTACGTCTGCGAGTCCATCCGCCACACGACCTGTGAGCGGGGCGGGTACTCTGACGAACAATATGAAGTACGTAAATAACAACATTCACAATTTTATTTTATTACCATCATTTGTATTGAGTTTCATTCATTCATATATATATGTATTGACCCCCTTCTTCAAATTAGATGTTTCGGAAGCGGGATGAACTCCTAGCACCAGCTCGCATGCGAGCAATTCAAGAGGAATTGGCGGCATTCTTTCTTGACCAAGTGATCGCTGAAGACGGAGAATACTATGCGGACCATGAGTCCGTATGATTATATTTGTAAGAGATAATTATTGTATATATGTAGCCGGTAGTGTCGGATAGATATACGAGAACTTGTTGTTCGACCAATCTTTCGGAGAAGGAGAGGTGGTCGATATCACTTCTCTCTGTATGCATATATGTTCATGACGATCTTCTGTTTCCTTCGTTTGCTTACTAGCTAACTAGCGTGTCTAGTCCTCTCTATACGTATGTATAGTACGTAGCGTCGACCAAGCACGGACGTAAGAGAGGACACTTCTCTCTATTAATTATAGCTAGCTAACACAATATATGAAACACCTAAATTAACCCCCCAAAACCCCCAAACCCCTTCAAAAAAAAACCCCAGCCACAGAAATGCTGACGCGTGGATGCCTATTGGTCCCGGTTGGTGCCACCAACCGGGACCAAAGGGTCTCCTGCCTGGGCTCTGCGCACTGCCCACGTGGAGGCCCATCAGTCCTGGTTCTGAATTGAACCGGGACTAAAGGTACAGGGCATTAGTACCGACACTTTAGTCCCGGTTCAGGAACCGGGACTAAAGGCCCTTACGAACTGGGACTATAGGCCCTTTTTCTATCAGTGCTTGGTATCTAAACTCGTTGAACCAGGGACAGGGCTATGGGATCAAGAGTTAGTCGATGATGTCTTTTGGGTAGTGCGGTCCCATTAGCACCTCATGGCACGATTGAGGATTTTGTTGCCTAGAGATTTACTAAGCATCATTTGTTCACGGTGAGGTTGGCGTAGCACGTCAAATCGGAGCATCAGTTCGGACGTTGGTACCGGCGTTCTGAAGGAGAACCATCACAATGGCATCCAATTTCGACGAAGCTTTGTAGTGCTCATGCTCCGGCCAAGATAAAAGTTCATGTGTGGAAGGCCCTACATGGATTTATTCCGTGTATGGGTGTACTGGCGAATCGCCACATTGCAAGCAATGTTTGTAAGTGTCCAAGGGCAGCAGATATATGGTGGTGTTTGAAACTAGATGGATTCGTTGAAGAGGCTTTCGCTGTTGACCGAGTGGGTCTGGCTGCACTGGACTATATTTTATGTGAATCTGCTAGGTCAAGTTTGATTCCGGGATCAAGTGCCCAGTTATTGATCTTGGTAGGAATTTAGTATATCTGGTGGGAAAGAAGGCGATCTGTTCATGGGAAGGATGTGCAAGTCCCCTCACGATCAACATTGTCTATTAGTGCTTTAACTGTCAATTACTGGAAGTCGAGGCAGAAAAACACGAAAAAACACAGGTACTCACAATTGGAGATGGGTGGAACCAGCGGAAGATTGTGTGAAACTCACCGTTGACACGGCGTTCCACCCAAGTGATCTTCAAGGTGGTATCAGTGCAATTCTTCGGGATGATAAAGGCGGATTTATCGCTGCATCAAATGACCGTCTTGAGCATGTGGCGGATGCGGCAATGGCGAAGGCCTATGCACTCACACACAGACTACTTCTAGCGCAATAGTTCGGGATACGACATTTGATTGTGGAATCGGACTATATGGTGGTGATCAACACGATGCAAGGAGGAGGCTTCATAGTTTTAGGAGCGGCCACCATTTATGCTGATATTAACATCGTCTTTTCAGGATATATTTCAGTTTCTTTCGTTCACTGCCCAAGGGAGATGAATGTAGTCTCTCATGAATTAGTTAGGCTAGCGATCTCGATGCCACCGTCAACGTGGATAGAGGAGCCGCCATTATCGATTGTTAGGTGGCTGGTGGATGTTGTAACTATCCATTGATTTAATGAAGTTACCCACCACTGACTTCAATTATTAATTCCAGTTTCTTATCGGGGAACTACTTTATGTATAATAACTAGATATTGTTATCGTGGTAGTTGTTCACTTGCAACATGACAACCATGATGACATAACCTGGCAATTAGTGGCGATGAAAAAATTGCCGAAACAAAACAACATTATATCTTGTTTTAAAGCTCTCGTTGAGACGAACTTATCAGTAAAGACATATCACTTGTAAAATTTAAGTTTAGAAACTAAAGCCGATGATGTTAACATGACGTGAAAGATTCTGCATGCATGTATCCCCTCTCTCTATGGAGCAAAATCCGATTAAAATAGTCCTGCACCTTAAAACTAACTAGCACACATATACTAGTCAAGCTCGACGGAGACCGATGACCACTGTGACCATGACCCTCCACGGCACGCTGCGAGAAGACATGGCGCGTTTCGAATAGTCTTTATCTTATTGGTAATTTTTAGTTTCCATATGTGTTCGAGCAGAGGATCAGTGAACCCATGAAACGTCAACCAACAACTAGCACATGTATCTGTAAAAATACGGCTTTAGGTTCCACAGCCCAGACAACAGTTTAACATTTGAAAAGTGTGTGCCAAATTGGTGAAACTGAATCTTTGTTAAAATACGATGGAGATATGCATTTAGTTTTCGTATTTAGTAAAATTGAGTTTTTATAGCGCAACAACTATATTAAGAAACTAATCTTTCAACCAGTAGAAGTACAACGATTAGCATGACCAAGTCCTAGCCAATGGTGCATTGACATATAAATTGATTTGATTTTTGTGTTGCCACTGTATACAACTTGCGCGTTGGGACTTGTTAAACCAGTCAGTGACTTTGACACTTGGACGTACGTACAGATGAACCACAAACAAATAAACATCTTGTATTAAGAAAGGAGTTCGTTGCACTGTACTGACCGGTCGGTAGACGGTAGTAGTGTACAACCATATATTAGCTTAAATAAACGCAAGTAGTAGTGACACCTTATATAAACGGCTTGGAAGCAGACATGGTCTCCATAAGAAGTTCAGGACTGCACAGGCAAGAGTCTGCTCCCCAAAGTCCAAGGGTGTCACAGGTTCACGGCTAGCTCACAATGTCCAAGGTAATTAGCCATCATGCATGTTCTTTCGTTTTGCTTATGTCTTTGGGGCCGGGGTTCCGTCGAACAAATTTGAAGGTGTACACTCATAGTGAACGCTCGTGTTTTCACTTGTGAATGACCTGCAGAAGATCCTGATCAGAGCTGATCTCATCGGCGACAAGTGCAATAGCAAGATCCTGGCAACTGCTGCCAAGCTCAAGGGTAGGGTACCTCGCTCCCTCACAATCCAACCTCTATCTATCTCGCACCCCTCTCCACTCTTCTTTACCAAAATGTATGTACTAATTTTCAGGGATCAAGTCCATGGACATTGACCAGGACAAGTGCACGCTGACGGTGGTCGGCACCGTCGATCCGGTGCGGCTCCTGCAGTGTCTCAGGAAGTCGTGCTTCGCCGCAGTTATCATCAGCGTCGCAGACGACAAGCCAAAGGAGCCAGAGAAGAAGAAGGACCCCTGCCAGGAGGCCTGCGAGAAGGCCTGCAAGGACAAGTGCGAGATGGCTTGCAAGGAGGCGTGCTGCAAGAAGATGTGCGTGATGGTTACTTGCAACGAGGCGTGCTGCAAGAAGAAGTGCGACACGGCTACTTGCAATGAGGCGTGCTGCAAGAAGAAGTGCGACATGGCTTGCAATGAGGCGTGCTGCAAGAAGGTGACGCCGTCCTGCTACCCGTCCCGCTGCACGCCGGGCTGCGACTCCAGCCCCTGTGGCCTGCCCAGCTGCCGCTTCTACATCTACGGCTGCGTCGTGCGCCAGCCGCCACTGGGACACGGCTGCAACAAGGGGAGGTCACGCGGACTCAGAGGAGAATGCGGCATCCAGTAGCCGTGGATTCATCATCGATCGTCCTGCAAGCTAAGATTCTGCAGGAGCATGTATGGCGGTTTGCCGTGTCGTTGGAGTTTGCTTTTCGTAGAGTGATGATTCCCTTTCATTCCCTCTCAAGACGACGGCTTTGATCAGCATGGTTGGTTACTTCGGGTCTGATTCTTCGGTCTGTCTACTACTCCCCCCTTTCCTAAATATAAGACTTTCTAGGGATTTCACTACATACGGAGAAAAATAAGCAAATCTACCTTCTAAAATATGTCTATATATATTCGTATGTAATATGTAGTTCATAGTAGAATCTCTAAAAAATCTTATATTTAGGAACAGAGGGAGTATAATAAAAGCATATGATTGTTAACCCCCCCCCCCCGCGGCTCCCGCGTCGTCCCCCTTGGGCGACTCGGGGGCGACTAGGTTTTCCCTCGGCGCCGCCACCCCCTCCAGCCCCCCTTCCCTTCCCGCCGCCAGAGGTACGCCAGCCTAGAAGGCTGCCGATGAAGGTGGCGGCGAGGCTCCCCGTCGCTTCGTCCCTTGGCGAAGGACCCTGGACGCCGAGGCGGCAGCCCCAGACGGTGAGGCGGCGCCATCTTCGCGGTAGGTGGCGGGCGCGGGATGCGGCGAACGGCCTCCTCGGCAGCTTGGGCAGCGAGGAGCCGGCAGGAGGTGGTCGTGGTGTGGGCTTCCTCCACTCCAGATCTGAAGGTCATGCTTCTCTCCTCCTCTGCTCCACTCCCCCCTCTGGCGGTGTCCGATCTGTGGCTTTGGCTATCAGATCCGGTGCTGGCGGGGTGATGGTGGTATAGGACTGCGTCTGGGGTAATCCCTTGGCCGGTTCTCCGGCCACGGCGGCGACGACGCGTGCGTGCGTGGTTTTCCTTCCTGGAGGCGCCGCTGAGGACCTGTTTCTTTCCACCCCCGTCCCAGATCCCAGGTGAAAGCCCAAAACCCGTCCCGGGTTGGGCGGCGGCGGCGCCATGCGCGTCGTTCTCTCCTTGGAGACGCCGCCTGGGGCTCTCTGGTTCTTCGGGAGAGTGGTTGTGAGGTTGGAGAGCGCTCGTCGGCGGCGAGCCCAAGGGGTGATTTTTTTGTGTAGGGTGTGTGTTCCTGCAGGTCTATGCCTTGGCGGAGTAATGCTCTGCGGCGGCAAGGTCGTGGTGTGTCATGGTAGCTCTGCTCCTGAGCCGGGTTGGGGGGGGGGTAGGGTTCCTCTTCCCGTTGACAGCCCCACGACGCGCACCGCAGAAGCCTCTTCCCTTGTGCGGACACTGGAGCGGCACCTGGTGCTTCCAACTTTCTTTCCTGGTGCTCTGCATTGCTTCTTCGACGATCCTCCCGGCAGCTTTCCTTCTGTTTCTCGGTGTCCAAGGAAGGTGGCAGTGCAGCGGATGTGGTGTGTCTTTGGTGTGGCGAGGACCGATAGTTTACTTGCTCTGGTGTGTCGGTCGGCGCCTGCTCTAGCTCTCGGGTGAGCTCCCAACGATCTGATGGTGCGGCGCCTTCGAGCCTAGGCGAGAGGATTGGGTTCCTCTTCGGCGTTGGAAGACAGGTGCTCGTTTTGTCCGATGCTCCATGGTCAGGCGACCCCCGGTGCCTCCATGCTACTGACTGAACCTCAATACTTCTGTGTTTTCCTGTCTTTGGTCTCGGGGTGCAGCGGGCTTCGACATTACTTGCAGGACTTTCTCGTATATTTTCTTGGTGTGTAGTAGTGTGCGTTGCGTTGTAAGCTGCTCAGTCAGCTCTCATATATCTTTTGGTCGCTCATACTTGGTGGTCTTGTGTAATCCTGGCCGGTTAATGGCTTTGTTAATTCAAAGCCGGGCTTTACTTGAGCCTTTGTTCCAAAAAAAAGCATATGTCGGCCAACATTTCTATTTGTAGATATTAATGGTTACCTTATGAATTTATATTGGTGGTTTAAAGTTTGAGACTGTCTATTTCACATTCGTCTGGAAATAAATTAGTCTTTATTCAAATTTTACAGCCAATGGCAAGCTGATAGCCGTGTGCAAATGATCAACTTACACTAACCGTACAACAGTATTACACGCGGTTTACATTGAGTCAAGACTAAAGAGGCCTAATTCTCACTTAGTTGCAAATGCAAACAATTACAACACAACTACAAGGTAATTACATGCACAAGAAAGCACCGTAAACACTACGGGAAAAAATGCGTCGTCTAGTGTTTGGGCATAAGCCGAGTGCTATTTCTCGGGTACCACGCAAAAAAACACACGGCAACCACAGGGCCCTCGGTGTAGACCAGAGTAAGCCGAGTACAGCTCAAAAAACACTTGGCTTATAAAGAAAACTCGGCATATTCCGCAAAAACCATTTGGCCCACACCCGAGGATCGGCAAAGCACCTGTCCCGTGGCCATCCTCACCACTTGATGGCCCCGTGACGGTGGGCGCTACAAGTCGAGTGTTGTCTACTGGCATACTCCGCTTAATTATATGTAAACCGTGTACCCAAAAGAAAGCACTCGGCGTATACTCATGCCCCTTCACCTTCATCTCCCCCCGCCATTTTTATAAATAAACGTGTGCGTGGCGGCTCTGCTGTTACTGATGGAAATATGCCCTAAATACAATAATAAAGTTCATATTATTACATTTCCTTGTTCACGACAAAAGGTTTATTATTCATGCTAGAATTATATTTATCGGAAACTTAAATACATGGGTGCATACATAAACAAATACTGTGTCTCTAGTAAGCCTCTATTAGACTAGCTAATTGATAAAAGATGGTTAAGGTTTCCTAACCATAGACATGTGTTGTCATTTGATAACGGAATCACATCATTAGGAGAATGATGTAATGGACATGACACATCTGTTAACTTAGCATATGATCGTTAAGTTTATTGCTATCTATATCTATATCTATATCTATACCTACTAATAAAGTAAGGTGCGTTTCTCCAATTTTTTTCATCTGTTCACCATTGAATTTCTTTTATATATCTGAGGTGGTACTAAATTTTTGTGCGTTTATCCGCTAGAAACTTAAAAATGTTTCCCTAGAATTCCGCAATTGGTCCGCGTGCGCTGTCCGGCCCAACGAAGGGAGCCCAATTATTATTGCCCACGCATTTGTAAAGACCTTATTTTTCGCATGGAGCGATAAACAGTTGAACCTTCCCACAGGGCGCCTAAGCCTTGGCCGGCTTGTTTCCCCTTTTTGTTTTTCCATTTCCATTTCTATTTTTCTTTTTTATGTTCCTTTCTCTTTATCTTTTATATTTTTTTTATTTTTTCCTTACTTTAATTTTTTGTGACTTAAAAGTTTACACAAATATTCAGAATTTTTATTTTGTTCAAATATTCAAGAAATGGTCAGAATTCCAAAACTTTGTTCCTGTTTTGATAAATGTTCAAAACTTTTAAAAAAATCCACGTGTTAAATTTTCTCGGTATTCAAAAAATGTTCTCCATTTTAAGAAAAGTTCTCATGTTTAGAAAAATGTTTTTGTTTTTAAAAAATTATTTGAATTTTTTTATATAAAATACATTTTATAAAATGTTCCATATTTGAAAATATTCCTTTTGAAATGTTCACAAAAACAAAAATAATGTTCGCGTCTAAGAATTCATTTTCTAAAATTGTTTTCAATGTCCCCCCTTAAAAAATATTTATGCTTTTATTAAATTCTCATGTTTTCAAAATATTTTTTGTGAATTTAAAAACCTACTAGCACATATGCCCGTGCGTTGCAACGGGATGGCAAAATTCATTCTAAATAATATTATTAGTATAAAATACTAAAATTGTTCAACCAGTGTCTTTATTTATTTATGTTTCGAAGACCACAATCATGATGACATGAACTCATCCTACGGCGACATGCCGGGGTGCAGCAGCAACTCAACTTTGTCAGCCTAGTGAAATGTGTTGGGTTAATCCAATACAATTGCTGGTTTAAAAACATGGATCAATATATGATAAGGAAGCTATCTATAATAACATTGTAATGGGATTAAAATTAGGTAGCTAATCTAGTATTGTATGACTGCAATCTTGCCATATTAATTATGCAGAACGAAAATCTAGCTAGCTGAGCAGGACTGGTTTGGTGCCTCTAGGGTTGTTTACTTCTACAATAGTCGATAGAGCTCCAGGTACCAAAGGTTCAACATTGAACTTTGATTTACCTCCATTAGCCCCATGATAATCCTCTTGTAATGAGCTAAATAGACAACTGGGAGGCTGGGATGATTTATGAAGGACTGATAAGATGAGGTTCTCAACAACTACATTCACTAGAAGAACGCCCGTGCGTTGCAACGGGGCCACATTAACTTTAAGAGTTCAATATTAATCATGTTAATAATACATTTAATATTCTCATACATATCAAGTGACACTGGCGACCTTTTTTGTCAATTTAGCAACGGGCTCAGTTGCAACGGGCTCTTTATACATATCAGACAACTCGCTACTACTTAAACTATAACTATGGCTACCAACATTTTTTTGTCAATTTAGCTCAGCAATAGTGCCTGGTTAATAGACTGCTTTGCATTCACCCCCTCAGAAGACAGAGAGAACCAACTCAACATGTCAGAAGATTAACAGAAATTTCATTTGTATGGCATGAACATATAGCAGGAGCACCAACACATAGATCAGCAGAGAGCAGAGCACAACATGCACACACTCGGGCCATCTATATCATACACACACAGCAACGCACACACGCATCACGCTGGCATACACATACAGAAAAGCAGGCACACACGCATCATGCGCATTGGCCGGTGCGACGCACGCAGAGCAAGTACGTATGCACGGAGAGCAAGCTAGCAAGCACGCACGCGTCCAACCCCGCCGCTGCATGCGCTGGCAGAAGGTGAGGCAGCAAGGGAGACTGCACATTGAAGCTGTCCATGCAAGGCTGGAGGTGCTGGGCCGGCGACGGCGGTGTCGGGACGGCGCTTGATTCGTTCCCGGTGGCGTGGAGCTTGGGGAGGCAACGCGGCGATAGC